CCACGCACATGGGCGGCGCTATCTGCGTGCCCACAACGCGGGGCATGCGGCCGTTTTCCTTCTGGTCGCGCTCGCTCTCGGCGGCGCAACGAAATTACGGCATAAGTGAGCGCGAGGCTCTCGCCATCGTGTCCATCATCCGGGCCCACGACAAGATCCTGCGTGGCCGCCCGCTCAGGGTGTACACCGACCACAAGGCGCTGACGACCACGTTCGGACCGGCGGCATCCCGCTCCGCCTCGCCTCGCTTGGCGTCGTGGGCTCTTATGCTGTCCACACGCGACATCGTGGTCAGCTACATTCCCGGAGACGACAACCCCGTGGCTGACCTACTCTCTCGCCCCACCCGACACCCGGCGCCGTCCGCCCCACCAGCGGCATCCGCGGCCCACATCGCGGCCATGGTGCCCAGCACCGCGGCCATCACGGAAGCCCACGCGGCGGCCGGCCACCGCGGCCCTCGCACGACCACAGCCCGGCTTCGCGCCGCCGGGTTTGCCACCGATAAGCTTGAAACCAGCGTCCGCGCCGCGACCGCTGCTTGCGGCCCGTGCGGCCGCGCCAAACACACTGGTACTCGACCGCAGCTCGCCTACCGCGCCCACCTCGCCCCACCCGCGCCCAACCATACCATCGCCACCGACGGCGCTGGCCCCTTCCCCACGGCTGATGGCATCCGCGCCTCAATCATCGTCATCATGGACATGCTCTCGCGCCTCGCGCAGATCCACGTCGTCCGCGCCGCCGGGATCAAAGGCCGCGACTACGCGGACGCAATCACGGCCTGGTGCGACCACTACGGCGTGCCAGCACGTCTCATCTCCGACAACGCCGGTGCGCTACGAGGGGGCGACGTCGCCACAGCGATGTCCAAACTCGGCATCCACCACCACTTCACCACCCCCAGGCACCCAGCCTCCAACGGGCGGATCGAACGGCTCATATCCACGCTCAAAGCCTCCGTTCGCACGCACCTCGACGCTGCCGGCATCCCCTCGCCACCCTCCCTGCGCGCCCTCACGACCGCGTGGGGTTCCGCCATTCGCGCCTACAACACGTCCGCCCATTCCACACTCGGCGAGACGCCGCATTTCATCATGCTGGGTCGCGACCCCCCGGGGGAACTCGGCGCCCACACCAGTAACGACGACCGGGCCAAGCGAGCGCGCGCGGCCGACCGGCGCAGCGCAGCGGCCCGCCGCAAAGCGGCGGGCCTTCTCGACCCCTCCGAGACGCCACAGCCCATGGCACCACCCGCACTCTCCGCCGGCGATTTCGTTTACGTCCAGCGTACACGATCCAGCAAGGCCGAGGCGCCCTTCGCCGGCCCGTTCCGCGTCGACCACGTCGACACCCTTGCAAACCGCGCCACGTTGGCCGACCGTTTCGGCGCGTCCCACACCGTACCGTTCGAGCTACTCAAGGTGTGGACAGCACCATGTCCGCCTGCGGACAAGCTGCTCGACGCCCACCTTGCCGCGCCGAGCTGGGCGAAGCGCGAAGGGCGAGCAGGCGCACACTCAACGCCGCCCTCAGCGCGGCACCCCTGCCCGCCGCCACGCCCCCTCGCGCCGCATCCACCCACGACACCGCCCCCGACGGCCAGTCCACCTCGAGTCTCTCCAGCGACACCGCCCTCCCCAGCCGCACCTTCGTCGAGGGCGGCACCGCCCTCTCCGCTGCCCTCCCCACCCGGCGCCTCTCCAGCCTCGACCGCACCCACGGCCTTACCGCCCACGATGGCTTCTGGCCCGGCTGCACGGGTCCGAGCGCGGCGCGACAGGCGGCGCACATGGCGCGCCATGGGTCTGCCCCCGCTGCAGTCCCTGCGGCGCTCGGCTCCCGGTGGCCCAGCTCCCGACCCCCACGAAGACGACACCTCGGGCGTCACGGAATGGCCCGTTGACGACATTGCCCTTTCGTCGGACGGGTCCGCATTCGTCGTGACATGGCATCACACGGCCGACGGCGCAATCCCGGCATCCCGTCTGAACGACACATCACGCACGAGCCACTGACAAGCGCCGACCTCGCCGCGATCTACGACTCCCGCCACCCGACAGTAATGAGTATGGTAGGGGGGGATGAGGGGGTCGTGCTGTGGGTGACGGTGTGCTCGCCGCTCGGCGCGTCTCTCAGCGTGTCAACGCCGCGGCGGTGCGGCACTCGACTACACGCCAGCCGCTTCAATGAATCATCATTCTTCCTGACTGATTCCCCGCTTGCGGGCATAGCCCGGCGCTCGAGTCCTCGCGTAGTACGCGAGTAGCACAACGGGACGGGCGAAAGTGAGCCGAGGAAGATGGGTATCGATGACGGCGATAATGATACTGGAGATAGTGTGGGATGTGTGATGACCTTGGGTGTGGTCGTGGGTAGCGTGGCTGGTAGTGGGAAGGAGCTAGGTGGTGATGAAGGTGGGCCTGATCGGGCGAGCGGGCGGCGGCTGGCGGCTGGTGGTCGGCGAGGCGGGGGCGGCACAGGGGGCTGGGTCGTGGCTGGGTGGCTTGAGATTGCTGCTGGTTGGAGGATGGGCAGTATGGCATGTGATGGTTGAGGGTTGTGGGTGTCGGGGTCGGGGATGAGGATGGAGGTGACGTAGAGCGGGAAGACGAGGAGGATGAGGAGGAAGAGGAAGCGGAGTGCGCGATGGGATGGTGGTGGCGATGGCCAAGACAAGGTGGTGGTGGTTGTGGCTAGGATGATAGTGATGGTGGTGGGGTAGGGGGTGAGAGTGGTAGTTGGTGATGATGGGGCGTAATGAGTATGGTAGGGGGGGATGAGGGGGGTCGTGACGTGGGTGGCGGGACTGGCGAAGAGGTGGTGGGTATGGCGATTGGGCTTGAGCATTGATGTGGATGGGTAAGATGAGGATGATGGGTGGGTGTGGGGTGTAGTTGATGAGGGTGGAGGGGCTTGGGCGGCAAGGGCGAGGAGGGCGGACGGGATTGGATTGAGATGGACGCCGATGGAGACGAGGGCTTGGGATTGAAAGACAAGGCGGACCACTGCACTCTAGCCTACAACCGCATTGCCTATCGCTCACTCTTCCCCTCTCTTGTTCTTCCTTGTCTTGGCCAGACCGGAGGTCTCGTCGTCTGGCTCGGTGGTCGGCGGCACGGGCGGCTGGTGATGAGCAGGCCGGCGGGGGCTGTGATGGGCAAGGCCGGAGGAGGGAGAGGAGGATTGGGTTGGAGGGCGCACTGGTAGCCAGAACCATTGCTGTGGCTATCTCCACGCATCGTCTCCAATGCTCCGTCGATGGCTAGCCTGCTCTCGGTGGTGCCGGAGGTGGTCGGTCGGCGGCGGGCGGCGGTCGGCGGCGAGCAGCAGGCGGTCGGCAGCGATGCTGTTGACGGGATGGCGTCGGCTGATGTCAATATCGGCGGGCAGGAAGTGAGTGGCTATGTTTGCAGGGGTGGTGAGTATGCGTGGTGTGGGTGTGGTGGTTGTGGGTGGACATGGTCGGGAGTGGGGGTCGGAGATGGGCCCGGGGAGGGGGGTCAGCACCTTCGAAGGGACACAGGGCCAACAAGTTGGGCCCGAGCAGGCAGAACTCGGATTCCGGAATACTGCAGCTATGGATTGGAAACTGTGCAAGGGGTAGTGTGTGTATGTAGTAGGGTAGTAGTGAAATCAGATTGGTCATATCTTGCAATGAGGTTGGTGGGGGCGTGTGCGGGGTCGGGCGGTCGAGGACGTGCTCAACCACCTAGGCAAAACAAGCCGACGCGGAAATGAGCCGGGGTCGATGGGAATCGATGACAGCGATATTGGTACTGGTGATAGTCTGTGGTGAGTGATGACCAGTAGTGTGGTCGCGGGTTGCGTACCTGGTAGTGGGTGGAAGCTAGGTGGTGATGAAGGTGGGGCTGACCGGGCGAGCGGGCGACGGCTGGTGGCTGGTGGTCGGCAAGAGGGCACAGCTGAGGGGCTGGGTCGGAGCTGGGTGGCTTGACATTGCTGTTGGTCGGCAGATGCGCAGTCTGGCATGTGATGGTTGAGGGGTATGGGTGTCAGGGTCGGGGATGGGGATGGGGGTGAGATAGAGTGGGAAGAGGAGGAGGATGAGGAGGAAGAGGAAGCCGCGGGCGCGATGGGATGGTGGTGGGTATGGGCACGACCTGTGGGTGAGGCTTGTGACTGGAATGATAGTGATGGCGGTGGAGTACGCGGTGGGAGTGGTGGTTTGTGGTGATGGGTGGTAATGAGTATGGTAGGGGGGGATGAGGGGGGTCGTGACGTGGGGTCGTGACGGGCGAAATGGTAGTAGGTATGGCGATTGGGCTTGAGCAATGATGAAGGTGGGTATGATGAGGATGATGGGTGTGTGTGGGGTGTGGTTGATGAGGGTGGAGGGGCTTGGGCGGCGAGGGGGAGGAGGGCGGGATGGATTGGATTGAGATGGACGTCGATGGAGACGAGAGATTGGGATTGGAAGAGGAGGCAGACCACTGCACTCTAGCCCACCACTGCATTGCCTATCGCTTGCCCTAGCCCTCTCTTGTTCTTCCTTGTCTTGGCCAGCCCACAGGCCTCGTCGTCTGGTTCGGTGGTCGGCAGCAGGGGCGGCGGGCGATGAGCAGGCGGTCGGGGGCTGTGATGGGCAAGGCCGGAGGAGGGAGGGTAGGATTGGGTTGGAGAGCAGACTGGTAGTCATTGCCATTGATGTGGCTATCTATATGCATTGCCTCCAATGCCCTGTCGATGGCTAGCTTGCTCTCGGTGGTGCCGGCAGTGGTCGGTCGGCGGTGGGCGGCGGTCAGCAGCGAGCAGCCGGCGGTCAGCAGCGATGCTGTTGACGGGATGGTGTCGGCTGATGTAAATATCGGGGAGCAGAGAGTGGGTGGATACGTTTGCAGGGGGTGGTGGGTATGTGTGGTGTGGGTGTGGTGGTTGTGGGTGGACATGGTCGGGAGTGGGGGTCGGAGATGGGCCCGGGGAGGAGGGGTCAGCAGCATCGAAGGGACACCAGGACAACCACTTGGGGCCGAGCCGGCAGAACTCGGATTCCGGAATACAGCAGCTGTGAATTGGAGACTGTGCAAGGGGGTAGTGTGGGCGTGTAGTAGAGTAGTAGTGAAATCAGATTGGCCATATCTTGCAATGAGTGTGGTGGGGGGCATTTGCGGGGTCGGGCGGTCGAGGGCGTGCTCAACCACCTAGGGCAAACAAGTCGCTGCGAAAGTGAGCCGAGGTCGATGGTAAACGATGACGGCGATACTGATACTGGTGATAGTGTGGGGTGAGTGATGACCTTGGGTGTGGTTGTGGGTTGC